AAGACTTGTTTGAGAGAGAGATTCTAAAATCATTTATTCAGACTCAAGAGAATTATGGGTTGATTTAATCTGATTTTTAGAAATTTTGCAGTTGAGAAGTTACCTGATGTCCCAAACGGAATGCTCTATTCTTAGTTCACCACCTGCTGATATGGAAATGTTGTTCATGAAAGTCACCAAAGAGAAAAAAATCGACAAAACAGTGTCATATCTATATTAACGTTTACAGTCATGTATGTAAGGAGAGCCTCCTGGGGTTAAAAAGAGATGGTGAATTAGAAATGAATGTTGTGATTGATGATCAAGAGAGGGCACTAGTATGTGAAACTACTAGTGGCTATTGGCCATAAAATGACCAATAATCCACAACCTAAAACATGGAAAGTTGTTGTACTTTAGAACACCATATATCATTTTAAAACTCAATAAGGATTACACAAATTGGAGCTGGACACAGACACAGGTTGGAGACCACACTCATATCTTTTGGGATTGCCCAAATATCAAAACATTCTTAGAAGGAATCAGAGGGAAATGCAAAAAATTTTACGTGTTCATGTCGATTAGAACCTTCTTGTCTTTGTCCTGGGATTGCTCCCAACTAATTTGTTAAGTAAAGAAAAACTCTCCATTATTGGAGCCCTTGTGCTGAAAGTAAAGAAAATTATTACTATTATGTTGGTAAAAATCCTTTTCCCCCATGTTGTAAATCGAAGGGGAGAGAGAGAACAATAAGGGTTTAAAATATAGAGGAAATAATGGCAAAGCTTAACCTGTCCTTGAATTTATTTGAAAAAGTTGGAAGAGCATCAAGTCACTAACTCTAATACATGGCGAGAATTTAGGTGGAAGATAATAATACGTTTTTTCAGGACACCAGCGGTCATATCTAAAATGGGGTCCATACACTCAGATAAATGCTGGAGAAATTGTGGGTCACACATCGGCAACCATACCCATATATTCTGGACATGTCCTAAATTGGGAAAATTTTGGGACAGGATATTCGAGGCCCTCAGAAAAGTATTTCAGAAAACCTTTAACAAAGACCCTGAGATGGTACTTTTTGGATTATTACCAAAACACGCTACTGGAAGAGGAAAAAAATACCTTCTACAAATATTACTGATTGCAGCTCTTAAATGCATCACAGTTAAATGGTTGAAGCCCGACCCACCAACATACAAAATGTGGATAGAAAAGGTCTGGGAAATCTATTATATGGAACAAATAACTTATTGCCTGAGGCTTCAAAAAGACATATTTGTTAATAGGTGGAAACTGGCCATGACCATATTAATGCAGTAAAACTTTTTTTAATTTTTTTTTATTATTTTTTCTTTATTTCATTGTATTCTATTCAATTTCTATTGTATTTTTATTATATTTAATTATTATTTTCTATTTAATTTTTATCCCATTGGTGCTGCTTATTTAATTACTAACTATATTTATGTTTGTAAGCTACTTATGTTTAACCATGTGACCTACTTTACTTCTAAGCCTAACTTGTTGTATATACTTCAAAGTTTTGTTCTTTTTTAAAACTTTACCATATAGAGCGGCAGCCTGAATGTAGGCTTGTATGTATATGTCTGTGTAAGTTGCAAAAATTTAAATAAAAATTAAGTGATAAAAAAAAAAAAAGTTGGAAGCCATTAATGTCATTTGGAATTTACATTATAGTGTATAAGCTTAAGTTAGCTAAATAAATTTAAAAAGTCTTAGAAGAACTATATGGCTTAACCCAATGGGAGATCCATCCATCCATTTTCTCGCACTTAGTCCTTGACAGTGTGGTGGTGGGGCCTGTGCCCATCTCCAGCTGTCTACGGGCGAGAGGCGGGGTACACCCTGGACAGGTCACCAGTCTGTCGCATGTCAACACAGAGACAAACACGACAAACATAGAGTACCTGGAGAAAACCCACGCATGCTCAGGGAGAACATGCAAAATCCATGCAGAAAGACCCTGGGCTGGGAATTTAACCCAGAACCTTCTTGCTGCAAGGCAGCAGTGCTACCCACTGTTCCACGGTGCAGCTCCCACCCTACAGTGATACCTTATTACTTACAGTTTAGTCTATGGGTCTAATTGCGCATTTTGTTTTCTGTGGTTTTTGGGTTTTACAGACATCTGATGAATGTTTGATAGAAATATTCCGAGGACTGCTTGTTTTAGTCATAAAGTTTCACCAATCATTAGTATCTCTGATATAGACCAAATGTTACGTTATGAGGTGTGATGACATATTGGGACAAAATAAGTGTTCATGTATGAGCCTGTATGAATTGTTCATATATTTTTTTGAGGTGGTTTCTGATTGTGCTTCTTTGCAGGTTTTGGCAACATTTCCCCCCACACCGAAGGAGGGAGAATATTCTGCATCATCTATGCTCTGCTGGGAATCCCTTTGTTTGGTTTCCTCTTGGCGGGTGTAGGTGATCAGCTCGGCACCATCTTTGGGAAAGGAATAGCCAGAGTGGAGAAAATGTTTGTGGTGAGTCTGCTAACAGATACACATACAAAGTTGGACAGATGAAAGTATTTTATCTTAAATCACATCCATCAGTGGATACTTACAGGAAAGATCTCTGATGGTTCAAAACATTGCTCTGTTGTTTTTTTTATTATCAAACAACATTTTATAAATCTATGAATAAGGTTGCAGCACAGCCTCCAGGTAACTGTGTGGGAGAAAGCATCCATTTAAGTCAATGAGAAGCAATGAGTCATGGCTGCTAGCTGATAAGTTAATGATGGTTTAAAAGGACAGACATCCCTGCAGACTGAGGCTCTTAATAGATGTGACACAGAGAGTAACAAAGAGACAGCAGTATTTTCATCATCTAGGTTGAATGTGATAAACTTAATAAATTAATGTATTAATCTAGTTCATCTATGGTCATTAAAATACAAATGATGTAAATGAGATTTCTGTATTAATTACTAAGGATAGATGGTTTCTAAGAGGAATCAGAAACTGAAGAGCTCAGCTTGTTTCTAATGAAACAACAGGTCCAAGAAAAGATCTGCAAAACTCACTAAGGTTATTGGCTTTTACAAGCCTCTAACATATTAGCTTTTTGGTCTTAAAGGGAAGGAAGGGAAACCTAAACACAAATATGTTGTTCAGAACAATTTGCTCCTTCCGCTGCTCTCATGTTTCCCGAGGGATCAATGATTGAAATTGAAACCAAGCACAAGTTCAATTATGTCTTGTCTAAACCCATTCTGGTTCACCAAGCAGCTAAATAAACCTCTGCTGTTCCTTTCCACTGTGAAGCACTGGGCTATCAGTCAGACCAAGATCCGAGTCATATCCACGCTGCTGTTTGTCCTATTTGGCTGCTTGCTCTTCGTGGCGCTCCCGGCGGCCATCTTTAAACACATTGAGGGCTGGTCAGCCCTGGAGTCCCTGTATTTTGTGGTCATCACCTTGACCACCATCGGGTTTGGAGACTTTGTGGCAGGTGAATAATAGCTGAACTCTCTTTAAACCTGCATGCTTTTTTTCTGCATCATAATTTCAAATTTAATCAGTGTCTTTTTGTACCCAGGTGGGTCAGACATCGGGTACCTGGACTATTATAAACCTTTGGTTTGGTTCTGGATTCTGGTGGGGTTGGCCTACTTCGCTGCAATACTCAGCATGATAGGAGACTGGCTCAGAGTCATCTCCAAGAGGACAAAAGAAGAGGTACTTCACTCCTCATTCATAGCTTCTTTGTTTTTTGGGGGGGTTTTTTGCATTCAGCCCCCTTTTCACTGAAGCCCCTAAATACAAAGTGTTTAATCAGATGGCCTTCAGAAGTTATCTGATAAGTAAAAGGACATAATCTGTGTTTAATTTAATCTTAGTTTAAATCTTTAGGTGCTTGTTAAAGAACATAAGTGAACAAAGACCATCATGAAGACCAAGGACCATAGCAGGCAGGTCAGGGAGCATTGTTCCTCTCACAGAACCCTGTTTAGTCCATCACCTCAAGACCATGACACGGATTCAAACCTACCAAGACAGATGTCCACCTAAGCTCACAGAGTGGGCAAGGAGAACATGAGTCAGAGAAGCAGACAAGTGGCTCCTACTAACTATGGAGGAGCATTTCTGCTTCGCAGCTCAGGTGGGACAAGCTGACATGAAAAACACCATGTAAGGAGGACGGACACACCATAATCACTATGAAACAGGGTGGTGGCCGGATCATTATCTGGGGGACATTTTCAGCAGTGACATGTTAAGGTTAAAGGACACATGCTGCATAATTGAGACTAAAGCAAATTTCTGTTTCTCAATTTACACCTTCAACCAAATAAACAAAAGTTTGAGGTGAATGAGACAAAATAAGAGTGCGTTTAAGGAGTAGCAATACTTCTGGAAGTAACTTTGTTCATCTATCTCCCCCTTCTCCGCTGCAGAGACGCATGAACCATAAAAGCATCTGAGTTACAGTACAATGACCCCACATCAACTTTTGCCATCTGCTTAATTTCGTTTTAGTGATGTGACTCTTCTCAAATCTAATCTGCTGTCTGCCAGCCAAATGCATGACCACAGAGGATATTAAGATCATCTCCACAGGGACTGAAGCAAAATTTGGGCACAGTGTAGCAAAGTACCTTTTACAGAAGCCTTTCAATGCTAACTATAGCAAATCTTGTTGAAATTCTTTTATTGACTTATTATTAAAGAGAGATTCAGAAAGCTTTAGTCCTTCATTAACAAAAACCATTGGTCCCGCTTTAGTAAGATGGAGTCGCTCCCACTTAACAGTTTGATTATGCTGGAACAATTTAGAAAGACTTTTCAGCTGCTCTTCAGCAGATTACCCTTTTTTGAAGTGTCAGAGGAGAGGAGCCACAATGACACCACCGACTGTCCCTGTTAGTTTAACAAAACCAAATGAGTTGTACAGGCCTGATCTTCTCTCTTTGTTTACTCTAGATCTCCATGGTCTTTCATACTGAGGTCTTGCTGTGAAATAGCATATTCTCGCTAGTTTCTAAATGTCAGTTTGTCAGGGCTTTTATCAGTCGCTGTGACATAATCAGAAATAAAAACAGAGCAGTGAGAATTTTCACATTCATGGAAACGCCACTGGACTGTCTGATTTGTTTAGGGGGGTTAATTGGTAGAGATTGCTCTACAGAGGATGTTGAGGTTCACACAAAGTAACAGCGGTATTTGTAATGAAAAAAAAAAAATCAAAATGACGGACCACAGTAGCAGTTCAACCAATTGATTTGGAATAGATTTAAAATCATGTTTTTCTGTTAAATTAATGCATATCCTGACGAGTATTATGACTAAGGCAACTTGTTCACGGATGGCACCATGTACAAACTCAAACCCACACGAGCTCCATCCAGGAGGTCCATCCTGTGCAGAGGTGCTTATGCAGATACATTATGTTAACGCAGTGAAGTTGACTTCCTGGACTAATACCGGATTCACCCATGCTTCATATTAATCATAAAACACACCAGCACAAACGATGTATGTGTCAAGTATACGGAGGAGAATGTAAGAACATAAAAATGGTACAAAACTATCCAACTTGTTCTTAAACCTCTCATCTCACACATCAGATAAATCTTTCTCTGTTTTAACAATACATTAGAAAATAAATCAGAAATTGTTTTTTTTTTCTAATTTAAATATCAAGTATCAATAAAGGTTTGTAATATAAAAACAAGATTATTCAAAAGAATAATTTATCTGTTTTCCTAACTGCTACTTTTAAAGATTTCTGTTTTTAGAGTCTGATAAATTCTAACTGGAAAAGGTAAAGACTACTCATTGCAGTTTTCCCTGACTGAGAAGAGCTTTTGAAGAAAGTCTGGCGAGTAGAATATTATGAATGATTAATTCTCAGTAGACCAAAAAAAAAACATCAGGAGGTTTCAGTTCTCTTTATGTCCCTTGCATCATCCCAAAGCTAACAAAACCTCTGGTGAATGATCACCAATCCATCCTTTGTTCCCACAGCACTGCATGCTCCTTTGTCAGGGAAATGAATCGGTAGAGGTCATCCTATGTTCCCTTCTGCCCCATAAGTAGCAGAAACATCTTTAAACATACAGTGATTTGGAAAGTTTTCACACCCCTTGTCACATCAGAAGAACAGTCTAATGAACATCACTTTTATTCAGTTTTTTAACGGAAGATTCTCCGCTGGTTCTAGATCTGGACTTTGACTAGGCCAATCCAACACGTGACTATTGTTTGATCTAAACTGTTTCATTTCGTTTAAAAGTTGTTAAATGTTGTCTTGGTGATATGTGAATTAATAGGTATTCCCATCACCGCTGCTCTGTGATCAGCTTAGGTTACTGTCTCTTTAATTTCTCTATTCCTGCCAAAGAAAATAATCCAAATAGCATCATGCTGCCACTACCATGTTTCACAGCAGTGTGAACTTTTGCATTAAAGCCAAAAAGTAACAGTTTGGTCTTATCAGGGTTTGGTCTGCTGTGTCCCCTGTACTTCCCCCAGCAAAATGGTGTGTTGGTTGATCTTCATGCTGCTATTTGTTCACAAATTTTCACCAACAAACCCTAAGGTCTTCAAAGACGTTTACACTTTTTTGTCAATGTGATGATGATTATTTAATATAGGGTCGAGAGGGTTGAGCAGGTGAGGAATTACCATAAAAATTCAAAGTTTAAATCTATAACAGCTAACCTCATTTCTTTGGATTATTTCCAAATATGGAAACGAATGCATGGAGAGATTAATAAAGTTTGCATGCTTAACTTTCAATAAAAAAGTGAAAAATAGATCAATTTGAGCCGTTCACTTAAAGGTGCTGTAAACTCGTGGCTTACAGTGCTGTCTCTATCCATCTCCATCACCCTCCAGGTCGGAGAGATCCGAGCACACGCTGCAGAATGGACTGCCAACGTCTCTGCAGAGTTTAAAGAAACCCGTCGTCGTGTCAGCGTGGAGATCTACGACAAATTCCAGCGAGCCGCATCTATGAAACGCAAACTGTCCTCTGAGCTAGGATTCAGCTCGGCACCTGAACTCACCCTGCCTAAGAGGGCCATGTCGATCAATTTCAATGACGAATGGGAGAGGACCGAGAGGGATGCTGGGCTGCAGGGCCTGACCACTCCACTGACCAGGAATGGCGGATCACTCATGAACGGGCTTGACCCAGAAAGGGGAGACGTCTCTGTCACTGAACACTTCTAGAAGAAGAGGATTCCCCAGACATTGGCCAAACATAAAGCGTGAAGAACAAAACAGAAAATGAGCTCAAATAAAGCAGATTTTACTTTGGGTAACTCTCTGTTGTCTCCAACATACAAAGTAGCTGCTGATACGGTTTCAGCCATTAGCCACACTTTTGGTCTGTTTTAACTACTTGAACAATTGGAAATGCATGAATTTGTCACTCTGTGCTTGTCTGTGTCTGAAACGCTCAACATTTTCATTATGGAAGAAAACACATCAGATGTCACATCCACAGACCTTGTAGGACTGTAGATTTAGTCAAAGTAGACTCTGATCCATGCAGAGAGCAGCCTAGTGTCTCAAAGCATGGGCTATCTCTAGTACATTTTCTAAGAATTTAGGATTTATTTGAAGTACCTAGCTTTACAATTTTAAACTAAGCACATACAACGTTTTGCATTTTTTGGGGGGAAAAAATGTATATTAAAAAAATTTAATAATCCATTATTAGTGCATTAAATTGTAGCCCATAAATCTGATTCTGCACAAATTCTCTTCTACATATTGAATTGCAGTTGCTAACCTTTATTCAGGGGCGGATTTACCATTAGGCAAAACTAGGCAGTTGCCTAGGGCCCCGAGTTCCTGGGGGGCCCCCTAAAACTCCTTTTACATGTATGGTTAATACAGCTATTACTTATTTGTGCACATTAATTATGTTTTTGATAAAAATCCTTTCGCTAAAATGCCATTAGAATGCTTATAATATTAAGTGTGTCTCGGGCCCCCCCCTACATACAGTGTCCACTACATTGGTTCAGTCCATTTTCTGGGCAGAAAGGTCCAAACACACCGCAGCAAACTATTTGAAAACAAACGGCGCGAAGAGACGATACGAGCAGAGCGGGGGAGAAGAGAAAAGAAAAGAAAGGAAAGGAAAGGAAAGAAAGATTAAAAGAAGTTACCCTAGCGGTAAAATGACTGACTTCCCCCAGATTCCACATACTCCGTCTGCGCTCCGCCCCGCTGACGTACGTTGTGCGGAGCGCTTGTCTTTCATGTAAATCAATGAGAGCTGTTCCACATCCACCGCTACGTCTTCTACGTCCGTCACCGACAAAATATGGAGCCCAGCTATTTTATATATATATATATATATATATATA